TTTAAACAGATAAGCAAACTGAGGCACACAGCTTTCAAGTCATTGACCCAGGGGTTACCCAACTAGGAAGTGAGAACTGTCACCCTTGATAACAACTGGATGCACTGCTGCATGATGGGGATTTAGAAAGAATCAACAAGGACATGAAGGAGAATGCCGGCTGGGCAGAGGTGTTCAGAGCTGAAGCACAACTTCAGAACTATGAAAGTTCTGGGGGGAAAACTAGAATCATTGGAGCAAGTATTGGTTTTAAATAACCACAATTAGAGACTATGTTTGAGTTTTACATCAGTATCAAATGAGTGTGCTTCTAAGCAAATTGAAAAATTCCACTCATTAAAAATACTAATGTAGAAAATTAATAAATTAGAACACTTGCCTGCAAGAGAGAGAGAGAGAGAGAGAGAGAGAGAGAGAGAGAGAGAGAGAGAGAGATCAGAAAAATAAGTATCATTTAATTAAACTTAAGAACCTTTCTGGAGCTATCCAGCAATGGAGTGTGATCCCTCAAGAGGATTTCCACATTACTAGAGGCATTTTTGGTACAAACTGGGTGACTGATTGGTTCATTCATTCATTCATCATCTGTCACCAAGCACCCCTACAATGGGCTGAGCACTGAACTATGTGCTTAAGCACACGATGACAGGTCGGTTTCTGTCTTCCAGGAGCTTACAGTTTGGTAGTGATGGAGGTGTTTTAAAAGGTACTGAAGCATTGATTAGTTGAAAGAATGCCAATTTTGAAGATAATGCCTTCAGTTTTGTCCAAGTGGAGTCTTACAGGCAATTGGGAAAACGGAACTGGAGTAGAGGGCTAGGAAAGGGAAAGTTTAGAGTAATCAGTTCAGAGGTGGTAGTTCCAGTCTTGAGGATGAATGAGCTTTGCAAAGAAGTGACAGCGTGATGAGTGAATACTTGCTGGTAGTGACGGAAAAGAGCAGAGGACCAAGGCAAGGGTGGTTGGCTTAGGAAGTGGCCAATAAGGAGTGAGAGCAATTGGAAGAAAATGAGATGGGCTTCCATAGAAGCCTTTCGGAAAGACTGGAGAGAAGTAGAGTAAACTGAATATCATTTTTTAACAGTTCCAGGTGGGACGGATCTTAATTGTAAGGACCTGTGAAAACTCCAATTACATGAAATGTATAGAGTCTGGATTGATGTTTGATTCTTGATGCCTCTTCAAGTTGTATTTTACATTAGTTTGCAAAGTTCTTTTTAATTATTTGATTTCCTTACTATATCATAATGAAATGTTTGCCCTCTTGTAGGTAGAGCTTAGTAAAGAAGAAGTAAAACGTCTCATTGCTGACGCAAAGGAAAAATTACAGTAAGTTTAGGAATGTTGGAATTTAAAGTCCAGATGAAATGTAAATCTTAAAGAATGATGACAAGGTGGTCTTGTTACTGAATGGTGCCACTTGGGTGATTTTTCATTGGCATAGAGAAGAAGGTGGCAGTGATGAAGAGGAGGCAGGTGATCCCTCAGAAGGCGGCATGCAGAGTGCACGTACCCAGGCACGACCAAGGGAGCCCCTGGAGGACGGTGACCCAGAGGATGACAGGACGCTGGATGATGATGAGCTGGCAGAGTACGACCTAGATAAATACGATGAGGAAGGCGACCCAGGTTAGAATTCACTCATTGCTGCTGGTTTTTAATTACAAACTCTGTGCATTAGATCATGCTTCTAGCGGTCCAAAGCTTTCCTTTGAGATCTGGTTGTTTTGTCCGTCAGATAATGTGGCTCAAGGCTTAGGCAAATAGCATGTTATTTAATGCGTCTACGAGTTGAGTTTCATTTTTGCTAGGTAAAAAGAAAGTTCTGGAGATTGGATGTACAGCAGTGCGAATGAACTTAATACGATTAAACTGTACACTTAAAATGGTTACTGTGGTAAATTTTATGTTGTGTATATTGTAGCACAATTAAAAATAAAAATGAAAAAATTTTCCTCAGTTGAAAAGAAGCTCTAACCCACTAATCTAAATTTTTTTAAAAAATAGTATATTTTATTGTAAGCAGTGAGTATAATCATCTGTAACTCATTTCTCTTTATCTGCAATAATGAGAGAGGAATTATCATCTCCATTTTGCAGAAGAGAAGACTGAGGCTTACAAAGATGAAATAACTTTGCCAGTATCACACAACTGAAAATGGAGCTGAAGTTTGAACATTCTGTGGCTCTAAAGCCTTCATTATTTTCAGTGCAGATGCTCTTCAAGCTGCATTGGGCTTATGTCCCAGTAAACCCATAGTGAGTTGAAAATATCTTAATTTGAAAGTGCATTTAATACATCTAGCCTACCAAATATCATAGCTTAGCCTAGCCAGTTTCTAGTGAATGCGTATCACTTTTGCACCATCAGAAAGTTGAAAAATTTTAAGTTGAATCATCATAAGTCGGGAACGTCTGTACACTTCATTAGGTGCAGAGGATACTTTTTTCCACTGGACTCTGGGTTGTTACCATCCTGCTGCAACAGAGTGCCATGGGAATGCAGAGAAAGGAAGAGCTAACCCAGCCTGGAGAGGTGGCATTCAGAAACTGCTCCTTAATGTTCTCCACACCCGGCAGCTCATTGGCTCGGTCTTTCTCATCCAGTAGAAATTCCCATCTCTGTTGCCTGTCGGATATTTAAGACCTATTAGTCCTACCCCTTTAAACTAGCTCCCCCTGAGAGTTAAGACTACCTTCCTCTCCCTGGGCTTTATGTTACTTAGGGTCAGCTCTACGTCACCCTTGCAGATATGCCATAAAAGAATTCCATTTTGAGGTAAGTTGAGTGAAAAAGGCATATAGTATCCCTTCTTCCAGATTCATAAGACAAATTAGCATATCAGAGGTTCTGAGAAACGTGCAATAAAGAAACCCTTTTAACTTTGTGAAGCCCATTATTTTTCAGTTTTATCTGACCAGGCAACCCTTACGTATTCCATGTTGATTGCAGTGTTTTAGGGTGATTGGATTTCCAGGTCCTCAAGGCTGCCTCTCTAGCACTTTTGAGTAATGATTCCAAGGAGCAAGCTAGAGAATCTGAATAGAGTTCTCATACCTTCTAAGGGAGTTTCATGGTTTGATTTAATTCTTTTATTGGAAGATTGTGAATTCCAAGACTGTCAGATATGCGTTCCAAGGTCAAATATAAATGGCTTTTAAATTCCTATTTACTATTATTATCAACTATTTCCTTTCGCAGCTGTGGGTGATCCAGAGTTAGTTATGAGATAGACCATTGGCTCTAAGTCTGAAGATAGGATGCCTTAGAAAAAAGTGCTTTTGTCAAAATGACTTTTATTCATTTCAATTTATGAACTCTTACAGACACCGAAACTCTTGGCGAATCTCTCTTGGGTCTTACAGTCTATGGGAGTAATGATCAAGATCCTTATGTGACTCTGAAAGATACGGTAAATATTTACATGGCTTTTCTAATCATGCTCCTCAAGTGTTTGGAAAACCTTACTCAATATCTGCTTTGGTAAGGTTTTTGACTTGTTTTCTCCCCACTTAGGAGCAATATGAACGTGATGATTTCTTGATTAAACCCAGTGACAATCTCATAATTTGTGGTAGAGCTGAACAGGACCAATGCAATTTAGAGGTGCATGGTAAGTGCATCCCTTATTAAAGGGGTAAATGCATCCCTTTCTAAAAGGTTCTAGTCTATTTAAGTGACATTAAAATAATAATCATAATAGTTACTGTTATGCTTTGTTAGGCATCAGATCCCGCCTTCTCGGGCCGGCCGAGTGGCTCAGCTGGTTAAGAGCTCGCTCAAGAGTTCGAGCTCTGAGCAACAGCGGTTTGAGTCCCTGCCTGAGCTGAGCTGCCGCTGAGCTGCCAACAGGTGGCAGGATGGCTCAGCTAAAAAAAAAAGATCCTGCCTTCTCTCATTTAAGTTGGTTACATGGTTAAAGTCTACAGATTTCCTGGTCATTGTGCATTGTGCCTGGGCATGTAAAGTCTGATATGTCACTTTGGTACCCGAGTTTATGGAAAATAGGTCTCCTGGAAGGTTCTAACAGGGATTTCTTTTATTTAAACATTTTTGCCAGTTTTTCACTTATTCCCCCCATTCGAGAAAACCTGGATGTAAAACTAAGTAAGCCAGCCGAGTGACTCAGTTGGCTAAGAGCTCGCTCAAGGGTGCTAGCTCTGAGCAACAGCGGTTCAAGTCCCGGCCCAGGCTGAGCTGCCGCTGAGCTGCCAACAGGTGGCAAGATGGCTCAGCTAAAAAAAAAGATTAAAAAAAATAATAAAATTAGGTAAAAACGTAGGACAAACTTATAATCACTTCACTCTAAGGTGACTTGTCGTCCTGGCTTTTTCTCCAGTCTCCTTTCTGGCTACTTTTTCTTTATGTGGCAAAGATTATACTCAATGGGCAGGCTTTATCCTGCCTTCCCCCCCCCCCAAGTCATTTCAAGCATTTCTCCTTTTGCAATGCACTTTATTTTCTTCATAGAAGTTCTGTGCAGAGGCCTGCATTTCTCTTTAGGAACCAGAGCACTTGGTCACCTTTTCCAGCTCAAGGAATGTTTGTGTCAAGGCCAGAGGTGAATACTTTGACTCTGGACTAGGCAATGATTTAAATTTTCCTTTTTTATTTCAATTTTAAAATCAGATGTATTTTAATGTAGATATTTATTCATTTAACAAACATCAATTAAATGGTTGTTGCCTTAAAAATAGGCCTTGAAGGTGTCTGGAATGTTCTGCCTTCAGATTCCCACTTTTGTTTTCTTGCCCTTTTGTGTCTCTGTGCAGACACCCTCAGAACACGTCCATCCTTGCCCAGACACCCTCCTTCCCCAACTGCCTTCTAGTCATCTGTCTTAAAATTTTGAAGCTTGAAAGAAATTATTAAGCTAAGGCCTAATAACTATAGGAAGCACAGCTGCACAGTTTGAAAATGAAAACCTTTTTATGTTTCTTGGCATCTTCTAGGTTACTTTGTCATTTATTCTATGTATCAGGTTGGGTTTCTTTAACTCTTCACAGTGTTTAGGTTCCTGCAGGAAGTCAATGGAATAGACCATTTTAATCCCGTGGCCCATTGTGATCCATTTATAAAATCCACAGGGCTTTAAATAACAGGTACTTCCATGTGAAGTAATTCTCCTAATTATCTTTGAACTTTTTACACATTTCAAGTGAAAACCATGTTGGTAATTTTTTTAAAACCCAGTTCTAATTTCAAAAAATTGAAACTCGATTACAGTTTGTTGTCATTGATTTTTATACAGTCTCATGTGAGAACTTATTGTAGTCACTCCTTTGAATTTTGTGAGTATCAGAAACGTTATGCGGCACATGACCACTCCCTAGGAGACCTTATGAGCGTACGTTTTCTATGATGGGAGAACCAGGACACAGGGCCATTTTGACCAGTGAGCACGCAGATGGAGTATTCAGGCAGATGTCAGGGCCCTGTCAGCGTCCTGTTCCCCCTCGGGCACACCAGGTGATGGCAACAGATTAGACATGCAGTTTTTTGCCTAGCATTAACAACTTGGCAGTCTCCTTTACCGTCATAAAATATGTCCCATTTTAAGCGTGGGCACCTGTATTTTAACAGGGGGAGTCTGTTCTTTAGAGTGGGATGTGATTTCTTATTCTAATTCAGTAAAGTCTCTCTTCCCAATCTTTTCAGTTTATAATCAAGAAGAGGATTCCTTTTATGTGCACCACGATATATTGCTGTCTGCGTACCCTCTGAGCGTGGAATGGCTGAATTTTGATCCTAGCCCAGATGATTCGACTGGTAATTAGAAACTTAAGTTTGCTCAGTGGTTCTTAGTCCTAGGTGTTTTTCCTAGCCACAGAAGTTATGTATTCTGCATGAATGTATTCAGAATTATTGACGTTTTCTGGAGTTGTAGTTACATAGTTCTTAAAACACTATCACTTACTTGTTTAGGGTCTGTATGTCTCCAGGCTCTAGCTAGGCTTAAAGAGTAGCTGCTCCACTGTAGGCCGAAGAACAGGGCCTGAGAATGTTCGGAGCTGCTTGTGAAAGTCTCATAAAAACCCAGGATAAAATGGCATGATGTGTCTGATGTTACCAGCTAGAGGTTAGTGGCATGAACCTTTTCAGAAAACATCAAAATGAAGAGAATTAGGTTCTCATGTTAGTCTTTTTAGCCACAGCTGCATGCTTCTGGTTGCCTCGTCCCATTTCTTCTTAATAAGTGTACAATCTAATAATACTCATAACCTTACATCTCACTTGCAAAGCTCATTCACGTTCATGATCTGATCAGATCCCCGTCCTCACAACAGCCCATGAAGGCGGAAGAGGTTTTGTGCTCATTACCTAAGTGAGGACCCTGGGCTGAGAGCCTGAGCCCTTGTCACTCATACCTAACCGCACGGCATTGGCCTCACCTGGGAGCAGGTTAGAAATGCAGACAAGACCTCCTGAAACGGGCTGTGCATTTTAACAGCACTCATGTGATGTACATACATGTGAAAGTGTGAGAGAAACTGCTCTAAGCCATTGCTCAATTAGTCCACAGTGCAGTGTAGTTCATTAGAAGTTACTTTTAACCGTAAATACATCATTTCCCCCTGTAGGAAATTACATTGCTGTGGGAAATATGACCCCCGTCATTGAAGTGTGGGACCTTGATATAGTGGACTCTTTAGAGCCAGTCTTCACACTTGGAAGTAAGCTATCAAAAAAGAAGAAAAAGAAAGGAAAGAAGGTAAGCCAGTTCATAGAGGTTTAAACTCAAATGACAAACCGATAAGTTTACTGAGGCTAGTGGGGGGCATAAGAACATACAGTTAAGACACCTGAGTGGAACAGGACAGGGAGTTATAATTACAATAGCTTCTAGTTCTAAAAACCCTATCCAAGGAACAAATGATCTCTGACTGCATAAAACCTCTGTTGGCACATTATTCATCCTTACACAAAACATTTTACTCCCTGGTTACGCTCTTCCTTGGTATAGAGTAACTCTTCACACTGATATGCTAGTTTTGAACTTTAAAACAACTTCTGTTTAGCCTTTAGTATGTTGAGTTCTAAATATCCATGTATTAATTCCTGTAGCTTTTTAAACTTAAGATTGGGGGCAGAGGAGTTGATATTTATAGAACTAATAGCACTGAGGTTAAGGAGTACTATATAGTTTCTTCTCTAAAGAAGATCATGGAATGTCTAACAGGGAGACAAGGTGTTTCCGTCTCTGGGTCTTCAAGCAAGTTTGCTTAAGATCAAAACAACCTCAAGATTTAAAGAATCTTTCAAATTAACATCAATTTTGTTTTGGGTGGATGGCGGGGGGGCTTTAATCCACAAAGTAATTAAACAATTATTACAGAGTTCCGCAGCTGAAGGGCACACCGATGCGGTCCTGGATCTTTCTTGGAATAAGCTGATCAGGTAAAAAGACCGAACATCTGAAGTCTCATTCAAGACTAACCGCTGCGATTTGCCTCCTGCCTGCATTGTGCGTGGCAGGTCTTCGTGTCAGTGTCTCCTTTTTCATTCTCGCAGTACATGCTGCTTGAGGGCAGGAGCTGTACTGTTTGAGGCCTGGCATCCCCCATGCCCCCTGCCAGCTCTGCTCTTAGTAGGCTCTCGTTACATGTTGGGTGAATAGGAGCCCTCCTCTCCAGCACCACCAGGAAGAACTGTGTTCTGCGGTTCCAGTAGTGCAGAATTGTGTTTCTTCTCACTGCATTTAGATTTCGCAAAATCTCATCCACATATTTTTTTAAACATTTTGATTTATTTCAATTGTGGTGAAATAGACATAACCTAAAATTTACCATTCTAAGCATGTTTAAGTGTATACAGTTGAGTGGATATTGTTATGCAACCGTTACAACCATCCAACTCCAGAACTTCTTTCATCTTCCAAAACTGAAACTACATACCCATTAAACAGTTAGCTCCCCATTCCCTGGCTCCCGCAGGCTCTGGCAACCACCATCCTACTTTCTGTCTGTGAATCGGACTCCTCCAGGTACCTCACATGAGTGGAATCAAACACTGTTTGTCCTTTTGTGATTGGCTTCTTTCCCTTAGCACAAGGGTCATCCATGTTGTAGCATGTGGCAGAATTTCTTTCCTCTTTAAGGCTGAATGATACCCCATTGTATGTATATGCCATTGTGTTTATCCATCCGTCAGTGGACACTTGAGTTGCTTCCAGGTCTTGGCTATGGTGAATAATGCTACTGTTATTCACACAGATGTGAATAACATGGGTGTACAAGTATGTGTTAAGAGTCCCTACTTTCAGTTCTTTTGAGTATATATATATATACCCAAACGTGGAACTGCTGGGTCATAAGGTAATTCCATTCTTAAACCTTTTTGAGAAATGACCATACTGTTTTCAATAGCAGTTGCATCATTTTACATTCTAACCAGCAGTGCCCAGGGTTCCAGTTTCTCCGCATCCTCGCCAACACTTGTTACTTTTTGTTTTGTTTTTATACTAGTCATCCTAATGGGTGTGAAGTGGTAGCTCATTGTGGTTTTGATTTGCATTTCCTTAATGATTAGTGATGTCGAGCATCATTTCAAGTGCTTATTGGCTATTTGTATATGTTAGCAGAAATGGCTATTCAAATTCTTTACCTATTTTTGAACTGGGTTTGGTTTTTTTTGTTGTTGAGTTATAGTTCTTTATGTACTCTGGATATTAATCGCTTATCAGTTTGGCCTTCTGTGTCTGGCTTTACTTAGCATAATGTTTTCAAGGTCCATTCATATTGTAGTGTGTGTCAATACATCATTTGATTGCTGAACAATATTCCCTTCTATGGATATGGCACATTTTGTGTGTTTACTCACCAGTTAATGGACATTTGGTTTAGTTTGCCTTTTTTGTCTGTTATGAATAATGATGTTGTAAACATTCGTGAACAAGACTTTGCATAGATGTAATGTTTTCATTTTTGGGGGCATATACCTAAGAGTGTAATTGCTAGGCTATATAGTAGTGTCTGTACCATTTATTGTATATCTTCTGTAGAGAAATATCTGTTCAGATCCTTTGCCCATTTCTAGTTGGGTTATTTGTCTTTTTATTATTTGAGAGTTCTTTATGTATTCTAGATATAAGTCCGTTATCAGATAAATGATATAAAAACATCCGCTCCCAGTCTGTGAGTTGTCTTGTTACTTTCTTGATGGTATCATTTGCAACACAAAAGTTTTTCATGTTGATAATGACCAATTTATCTGTTTCTTTTGTTGTTTTTACTTTTGATGTCATATCTAAGAAACCATTGCCTTAACCCAAGGTCACAAAGATTTACATCTGTTTTCTTCTGAGAGTTTTATAGGTTTAGCTCTTACATTTAGTAGGTCTGTGATCTACGTTGAATTACCTTTTGTGTGTAGTGCAAAGTAGGTGTCTAACGTCATTCTTTGCATGAGGATATTCAGTTGTCCCTGAACCATTTGTTGAAAATACTGTTGTTTTCCCCCATTGAACAATGAATAATCTTGGCACCCTCGTCAAACACCAGTGACCATAAATTTGAGAGTTTATTTCTGGACTCTTTAATTATTAATCTGTGTCTGTCCTTAGGCCAGTATCACATGATTACTGTAGCTTTTGAGTCAGTTTTAAAATCAGGAACTGTGATTTTTTTCAACTTTACTCTTCCTGTTTAAGATTATTTTGGCTATTCTGGAACCTTTGCATTTCCATATGAATTTTAAAACCAGCCTGTCTTAAAACCAGCCTGTCAGTTTTCTGCAAAAAAGTCATCTGGGATTTTGAAAGGGATTGGTTTAACCTACAGGTCAGTGTGTAGATGGCAGTATTTCTGTCTTAACAACATTAAGCCTTCCAGTCCATGAACATGGAATAGCTTTCCATTAATTGGTATTTTTTCTTTCAACATCTTTTATAGTTTTCAGAACATAAGTCTTGAATTTCTTCTATTAAATTTACTCCTAAGTATTTTATTCTTTTTGATGCTATTATAAATGGAATTCTTACATTTAATACTCTTGATCTTTAAAAGATTACCTGATTTGTTTCCTCCCTTTCTCAGAAACGTGCTAGCAAGTGCATCAGCTGACAACACTGTCATTCTGTGGGATATGTCCTTGGGGAAACCAGCAGCTAGCCTTGCCGTACACACAGACAAGGTATGGTGATTTAGTGGAGAAAAGGGATTTTAAAAGACCTGAGACAAATACTGGCTACAAGTGATCCCAAACATTTATATATGGCTTTTTGTGAATTACAAAGTGCTTTGACATGCTGTCTCATTGAATCTTCACAAAGTTCTGTATGATAGTTATAATTTCCCATCTTAGAGACACAAATATGAGTACAGAAATGTGAAGTGACTAGGAACATAGTGCTCAGTAACATGTTTACAGAGGCTCCTCAAAAGAGACTGGGGGTATCAGCCACCAAATGGGGTTAAAGAGTTTAACAGATCTGTTACTGCACAACTCCGGGATCTAAGGTGCTGGTGCACACCATGGACTTCCAGAGCACGTGGAGTTGCCCGGATACATTTGACCACTCCCTTTTTCTCTTCAGACTATGTTTTCACATTTGAGGGACATATGTTATCTGCCAAACACAATTTGGAGAATGCTGTATTATGCCTTTTAAGTGTCAGCCTTTATTTGGCAATATGTTTTGTCATTTTGATTATACAGTACATTTGTTTCTTTAAATAGTACTAAATTTGAAAGATAAAATTTATAGAAACACTGCCACATTGGTTCTCACCAAGTATTAGGCAATTTACGAAAACCAAACAAACAGATCTATTCATTTACGTTTCCTCCTTTTAGGTCCAGACTCTGCAGTTTCATCCATTTGAAGCACAGACTCTTATTTCTGGATCATATGATAAGTAAGATAGCATTTCAGGAATTATTGCTAGTTTTTATCCTCTTGAACTAATTCAGAAAGTATCACCTTATGCTCAGACAGAATACATTTCTGAGGCATTGATGTTTAAATTTTCAGTAATACTTATTTGTCCTTTTCAGCTCTGGTCCTTTCAGTCTGCAAGGGAATGTGGTTCTGTCATAATGTAGTTCCTAATTGGCAACTACTATGATTTCTAGAGGGTTTTTTTTTTTTGGAGGGCAGGGTCACTGGCCCTCATATGTGGGATCCGAACCGGGGCCCTCTGGTGTCCCAAGCCAGCTCTTAACCATCACACCACTCGGCCGGCCCTCTAGAGGGTTTTTAAACTAACCATTGCTGTAAAACAAGCCATCCCAGAATTCAGTGACTTAAAACAGTAAACATTTATTTCTTATGCCTCTGCAAGGTTGAGCTAATCTAGGCTGTATTCAGCTGGTAGCTCTGCTAATCTTGGCTTGTTTGGCTGGGCCACGAAGAGTTGCCAGTGTCCTCGTGTTTCATGTCCTCCTGGGACCAGCGGACGAGGTCATGGTGGGGTCGGAAGCTCAAGCAGAGATGCCAAGGACTCTTGAGAGCCAGGCTCAGAACAAGTACACTTCTGTCTTATTGTCTTGGCCAAAACAGATCACATATGCAGTGGGAAATGAAACCAACTTGCGTCTTTATTTTGATTCCTTATCCTTTTGAAGGGCGATATGTCTGCATGTTTTAGTTGTGATTCATGCACAATTATAAAAGTGTATCTGTCAGTTCCCCCAACACAGTAACCTGATTGTAGAGAGTAAGTGTGACTGAGATAATTGGTTATCTGGCCCTGAGCACTAGTGGAAATTAGAAATTGTCTAGTCTTCTGGAAATAGAGATGATTCATCTTGTAAGTGGAGGATTCAATCTGGAGAAGGTCAAGGCCACTGTTCCATCCAGAGACACCCATGCCTCCAAGTGACAGGACCAGGGTCCACCAGTGAGTGAAAATCAATTCATCTTTTCTGCTTTATTTGAGAACTTCCAAGTAGGATTTAAATCATTAGATCTTAACTTTACAATGTTTTATAACCACGTCATTATAAATAAAGTTAAAACATATGGAAGAAATGAACTGTTAAAACCCTAACTTTGCCTGAATATGTTCAGGTCAGTGGCTTTGTATGACTGCCGAAGTCCGGATGAAAGCCATCGAATGTGGCGATTCAGTGGGCAGATTGAGAGAGTGACTTGGAATCACTTTTCACCATGTCATTTTTTGGTAAGACTATGCATATTACTGTTTCGCCTATCCAGGTTACTAATTACTTCTTTTAATTCCACTGTAGAGGGACTCTCTGAAAAGCTTTTTCTGTATTAATTATATGAAGTGTTTGGATTTTAGAGTAAAAAAATAAGGTATTTTTAACAAGAGAACAATGGATCAGCTACAAAAAATAAACATGTAAATGATTTTGCTAATTTCCAACCATTCCAAAGTTTGACATTTTCTTTTATTGATTTTGATCATTTTATTAATGTGGTTTTTGAAATACTTAGCATGGTTAGTATTCTTTTTATGTTCTTTAATGGTTACATCAGTCCAAGAAGATATTATTTAAGCCCTAGTACTTAAATTGAGCTCCAATAATGAGAATGCTAGCCTAATTAATTAATATAGCACTGTCTCCCAGACAGGACAAAAGTACACGAACTTTCTATAAATCCCCTCGGTGTCTGTAGGATGACAGTTTTCCACGTAGCATCCAAAGATTCCATTGACATTTCAATCCATGGAGAAATAAAATCCCAGCTTTCATCCAGAAGGAGAGTAATTAAAGAAATTGTGATACATCCATACTTTTCCTAATTTGCCTAAAGTAAATATGAGTGCTTTGTAAATGGGGGAAGGAGTTCTTGACAAAACAGTTTTCTTAAAATATATGGGCAGTTTTAATAAGGTTCCTGAAATAACGATTCTGAGCACACTTTGCTCTATGTACGTGGGTGCATGCACTCCCAGCTGAGCTGCCTTAAGCCAGATTCCATTTTACAGTTATCAGGAGTGAAATCCTAGTTGTATTTGAATGCTGTATATACTTTGGCTCTCAGAGGTCAAGCACACATATTTCCTGAGGTTATTTGCTAATAAATGGTCATTGGTACTAAAATCACAAATATCTAGGGAAGTGGGAAGTGATCACAATAAAATGGTGTACCTTCTTCCCTCCAGTCTCAAAGGATGAGACCTCCCTCTTCTGTTTTGTCCCCATCCACAGCCCAGTCATCAGGACTGCATCCGTTGTCCCTTTTCCTTTTTTCTGCACTGGCTGTTGCTTTTGGCCTTTATATAGGCTCAACCTTGATGAGGTCTGTCTCTTAATTCCTTCATTTCCTCTCCCTTTTTTGAAAGTGTAACAACGCACTGTAATCTGCCTTTCAGTTCTTACCTGATTGACTGACTGCCAAAATATTGACAGCATTCGTCACTCCTTGAGAAGCTCTGTTGCCTACACTCCCAGGGCATCGCCCTCTGTCCTCATGGAGCTAAATCCCACCTCTGTGCTCTCACCTCTCTAACCCTAGTCCATATCCCTCCCAAAGCCTCACACTCATATCCAGCTGCCTAGCAGACATATCAGCTGAACTTGTCCATGTAAGAGCAAACGCGACTTACCCAGGAGTAAATGCCTTCCATGTTCATTTTTAATAAGCTCCCCAGGTAAGTCAGGTATATAGCTGATTTTCACTCTGATTTATACTGTTTATCCATTGCTGAGTGTTATTGTCATGTAGCCTGCTCTTGTCTGTCTTCTCGTTTCAGGCCAGTACAGATGATGGCTTTGTATATAACTTGGATGCGCGTTCAAATAAGCCAATTTTTACACTTAATGCACACAATGATGAAATCTCTGGTGAGCAAGAATAGTGTTTCTTTCATTTCTATTAAATTATGATGAAGTAAATCTGTATTCAAAGTCAGAGTCTCTGAACCAATCTTCCCCTAGGGCTTGATCTAAGCAGTCAAATCAAGGGTTGCCTTGTGACCGCGTCAGCAGACAAATACGTGAAGATCTGGGACATATTAGGAGATAGGCCAAGTCTAGTCCACTCCAGGGACATGAAAATGGTAAGAATCTCCATACACATATTTATTTTCTGTTTCTGACCTGCAGTGTTTGTCTTTCTCCTGGAATCACTGCATTAAAGGATATGAATTTTTTAGGGGAAGTTAATTTTGAGCTTAGCCAAATTCGGTGCGAGTTTTATGACTTAGGACAGTTTGGGGGGAAATCAGGGACTATCTGATTCCTTTTCCAACTCACATGTTTAACGGTTGCTTGTAAGAACAAGTTGGGGAGAAGGTTTTCTAGGACACAAGTGGGATGGCCAAGTTTTTTTACCCTAAAATCAGGACCATCCCAGGAAATCTTGAAGCTTTAAAGCTCCGTAGCTGTTGGGGTCAGTTTATCACTTCTTTGCGTAACTAGTGCTGACTACACTGAACTTGATTACTATGTAGTGGCAAAAAATTTAGAAATAACGAATCTATTCATTCAGCAAATATTTATTGAGTACCTAGTATATACCAGGCACTGAGTTATATAAATTAAATTGCAGACATAGAACACTACACAGTTGTTTAAAATTATGTATGTATGTATGCCAGTGTGTGTGTGTACACATATTAATGGAAAGGCAGATTACAAAAGCAGTTTTTATAGTATCATCCATGCTTATATTTAAATGCTCAAGTGCTTGAATGAGTATATGTAAATCTAGAAGACCCTACCCCAAAACACAAACCGATTATCTCACTGAGCGGTTTTTATACTTGTTTATATTTTCTATAATGCATGTGTTATCTAGTAATAAAAATGTGAAAAAAGAAAACATTAAAAGTTCACAAATTATTTAATAGTGACCTTTGGTATCATCATCATTGCTTAAAAAGTAAAATTAAAAATACTTGGCAGATGAGATTTATTAGGAAATCCCTAACAGACAGAATGATAATGGAGGTCAGAGACCTGAGCGGTCAGAGCGTACGCACGTTCTCACAGATTATCCATCATGCTGAACTTGTCTGGCTTTGTATTGTTGTAATATTCCTTCCAATTTAACTGTGAACTACCTTTGCAGGAGACTTGAAAGAGATGCTGGTGAGTTGGTTTTGAGTAACCATTCCAATCCTAGGTTCTTGTAGCCAGGAACAGGGATCTAGATTAGGGCTCTCTGGAAAGATTGGAATCACCGCCGTTCTCTTCTCTTCTCCCCAGGGAGTTCTCTTTTGTTCTGCCTGTTGCCCTGATTTGCCGTTTATTTATGCCTTTGGAGGTCAGAAAGAAGGGCTTCGGGTCTGGGATATAAGCACAGTCTCTTCAGGTAAGAATCTTAATTTCCTGCCTTTTCTGAAGGAGTTCTGTAATGGCTAACACAGATATGTGGCCTGAATACATTAGCTAGATAGCAAAGGTAGATCCAGTGTTCATCCTGTCATATGTAGTCTGCTCAGGAAACAGGAACAAATGTAATTTGGAAATGTTCTTGTTCACAATAAATTTGTCTTCATCCTTGAAATGTAGATCATTTAAAAAATATCTATTGTCGGGCTGGCCGAGTGGCTCGGTTGGTTAAGAGCTCGCTCAAGAGTGTGAGCTCTGAGCAACAGCGGTTCGATGCCCAGCCGGAGCTGAGCTGCCAACAGGCGGCAGGATGGCTCAGCTAAAAAAAATATATATCTATTGTCTTTATGACAAATTTGAATGTTAAAACGGAAAGATCTTAATGGGGAAGCTGGAAGGAAATGTAGCACGGTCTCAAGGAATGACTCCCCCCACGTCCCCCCTTTCCGAGTTCCCAGTGTGAATAAATCTGCCTTTTTCAGCCACTTTCTACCGAACCCAGCTCTCCTCCAGGGGCCGCTCCCCTCTCTTCCTCTCCCTTCCTGGGGACCTGGCTGCTGATTTATTCCTTTGGGGGTAGTGTGGTTTGTCCTATAAACATGGAGCCCCACTATCTGATTCCTGAATCTTTCTTCCCATATAGAAAAGGCATTCTTAATCCAAAAACATTCTATGTATACATGATACAGAGACAGATGAAAGAAAGGAAATAGGGAACTATCAGAAATAGGATAATGGCAATATAGAGCCACTGTTACAAGGGGGGACGTTTGTTATCAAGGTGGATTAGATACATCCAGGACAAGGCAGAGAAAATATTGTAAAAAGTAGACCAATTTAACATTAACCTCGTTGGGAACATTCAGTTGGATTTCTGAGCTGGGTACTTACTTTCCCTTTTACAAAGTATTAAATATATGTTCAGGGCCGGCCGAGTGGCTCAGTTGGTTAAGAGCTCGCTCAAGAGTGCGAGCTCTGAGCAACAGCGGTTTGATTCCCGGCCTGAGCTGAGCTGCCAACAGGTGGCAGGATGGCTTAGTTAAAAAAACAATAATAATAAATATATGTTCATAAACAAAATTTCCACTCCAGGGAAGAGTTAACTTACTGCCCATTTTTACATTTTAGTCTCTTTTTTATATTATAGGCTCTTTCTGATCTAGTAGTTTCTTAACTATTTATTTGTGTTTTAGTAAATGAAGCATTTGGAAGACGAGAGAGGCTTGTTCTTGGCAGTACAAGAAATTCATCTATTAGTGGTCCTTTTGGGAGCAGGAGCGCAGACACACCCATGGAGTCTTAATGAAGATCATACGATTTCCTGTTTTATTTATCTTCACTCAGAGTTTTAGGAAGCTGGCCTACAAATGTTCCATGTGTAGCTACAGCCATGCAGTGACTGAACAAAACTCATTTTCTACTACCTGACATTCCTCTCTGCAGCTGTGGTGGCAACACAGATAGGGCCAGTCTTCATCTGGCCCTTCGAGCGTGTGGTGTCTAAGGCTCCTGTTGCAGGGCTCCTTGAAAAGGATAATAAAAAAGGTCTGTAAACAATAAACTCCTTAAATATGCCATCGTCACAGGTAACCTAGGTTTGAAAAATAGCTAGTAAATGTTAAAAGAGGAAAATCCTGTAATCCTAACAGATGGGTAAACCCAGGCCCAGAAAGGTGGTTTGGCCAAGACTGCACGGTGGGCCACAAACAGGCAGGTACCCCAGGAACTGCACTTTACAAACTGACTGTTATCCAATTAATGCTCATGAGTTAGAAGTGTATTCAGTGCTACTTGGTAACTAAATTAAAAGTGGCATGCCTTTTTTTTATCCCTAGCATGGTAGTCAGTCATTGTTATCAAAGAAGAGACATTACATAATGATAAAGGCATTAATCCAACCGTAGGATATAACATTCATAAATTTTAAGCACCCAGAATAGGAGCACATAACTATAAAAAGCAAATGTTAACAGAGCTAAAAGAAACAGCAATACAATAATAGTAGGGGACTAGAATACTCCACTTTCACCAATGACTAGATCCTTCAGACAGAAAAATCAATCAACATTGGCCTTAAACAACTCATTAGACCATGTGGACTTAACAGACATACAGAACATATCAGCCAAAAGAACAATACACATTCTTCCCAAGCACATATGGAAAATTCTCCAGGATAGATCACATTAGGACACAAAACAAGTTCTTAATAAATTTAAGATTGAAATCACACCAAGCATCTTTTCCAACCATAATAGTATGAAACCAGAAATCAATTACAGGAAAATTTGAAACTTGGATATGGCTTGGAGATGTTTGTTAACATGGATTACCTCATCCTTTCTGATAGCAGCATTGTATTGCTTAATATGGACGTGCCATAATTTATCCACCATTTTCTTTCTGAAGCACACTTAGGTTTCTTCTGTTTTCACTGTTAAAAACTGCTGTATTCCTTCATCCTAACCATACCTGTAAGAAAGGAGTAGGATCCTGTACATACTTTTTTTTTTTTTGCATATGAACTTGAAATTGGATTTCCTGGTCACTAGCCATTGTTTTTCTTTATGTGCCTGCCTGCTCCACACACCCCACCTTTAAAGCCCAATATGTTCCTTTCCCAAAGACAATATGTGCTGAATAAATGAATGGGTCTTCCCCTGTTTCTCTTGCCATGAAACACTATTTGCATTTTGGGAACTTCAGATACAAAATAGCCTGGCACGCTTTCTTTTTGTCACAGCATATCTGGGTCAGGCATCTCGAAAAAGTCCCTAACAGAACATTATGTCATCTCCCACGCTTTTGAATAATTCAGTTTTTCATAGACGGGTGCCAGTTGTCTCTGACCAATTAAGAACAACGGCCCACAGAGGTGTCCTCTGCTTATAAAAATGCATTTCACGGCCCCAGTGCAAACATACGACTATCGGCAGCAGTGAGATGCACCTGAGATGAGGTGTCAGTGCAGCAGCAGGGAGATCAGCATGGAAGCGAACCGGGAGGAAAAATACGTTTTAAAAGGTATTCCCAACGCACAAATCACAACATAATAAAAAATCTTAAATGTTCTGAATTTCATTTTCAACATCTATAAGATGGGGGTAAACCCACTATTACAATGCCCTATGAGGACTAAACAAATTAAACTAAAATATACTGCCATTACAGACTGTCTGCAAGTTAAGTGTCACAAATGCCCAAGAGCATTTAGCTGAGAGGGGCAGGAGGTTGTCTGTTGACAAACAATAGATCATTCAAAAAGTAAACTTTCCCAAGTCAGTACCGCTCTCTCCTCATTCTGTCACGTTCATCTCCCAAAGCCCATCTCCAGCCTGTGCCTCAGCAAGTCTGCAGCCACGCAGGGCAGGGCAGGGTGAGGGGGCTGCAGAGGGCAGAAAACACCAACACCAAAGCATGCTGTGACCTCTGTCATCCTTGTACATAAACACTTTGTCTAACTGGAATAGTTTAGCTTCTCTGATCTGTGAAGACGTGGGGCCTGGATCTGTGCCTGCCGTAGGGAGATCCCAGTCTTAAACCAGGCTCCTGGAGAATCAGTGAGGCCTGCTGGGCGAGGCACAGACTGCCACTTCTGGCTGTGACTGCACCAGTGACCGCTCTGCACCCCCATCTCTTATGCAAACTAGGGACAATCACAGGCCTGCTGTGCAGTGTAAATGTGTTCTTGATGAAGCATGTGGAACAATGCCTACCACAAGTAAACACTCTGATTAAAAATAATCAAAAAGTAGCTACTGGTTTGGTAAACTAGGTATTCTAAAATGTTTAGTCCTGTATCTGTTGCCTTAGCTTTAGTTTACCACACCGCAGATCCAGGCTCATCTCACCTTTTCTTTACTAATCTTCTCATAGTGTGACTTTTTCACTCCTGCTCCTAGATTTTAATACTTGTACCTGTAACACTTGCATAGTCTTATTTCCATTAGGCGTAGATGTCTGCATCTGTACTTTGCATCATCTCCAGGATGACTCCTGTGGACTGCTTGAGAACCACCTGGGCAGCCCAGGAGCCTCGGCAGCAGGTCTTGGGTGACCTGCACACCTGACAGTTCTCCACTCTTTGGGTGATCCAGCTGGGCAGCCAGGGCTCTGTAAGATTTTGAGTTTCTAGAGGGCAGGGCAGGGTCTGGACCATTTTTCTGTTCCCTACAATGCCTTAAACTGTCCCGGCACTTAGTAAGTGGTTTTCGAAAAGAAAGTTGTCCTTGTCTGAGCACTACACAGGCCTAGGGGCTTCATGAAAGTGTGTATATGAAAGAGAAACGAAGGAGCCAAAGCAGCTGAGTGATTGTGTCCCTTTCAGTAAGACAGAAACACTACAAATTGTTCCTGCCGTTTATGCTGCTCGTGATAACTAGTAAAATTGAGCTTGACTGTACTCACTGTTTGGAAGCTGCTTCTATAAGCAGTCATCATGGAGATGGAACATTTCAGCTGGACACTTCAGTTTGCCAGGGCTGCCACACCCAGAACCACAGATGGACTTAAACAACAGAAATTAATTTCCTCACAGTTCTGGAGGCCAGAGTCTGAGGTCAAAGTGTCAGCGAGTTGTTCCTTTCGAGGCCTCTCTCCTTGGCAGGTAGATAGCAATCTTTGCATCTTCACATGGTCTTCCCTCTGTACGTGTCTGTCTCCAAATAGCCTCACCACTCACATTGGATTAAGGCATGCCCTAAGGGACTCATTTTTAAGGCAATCACTTCTTGGGACACCTTATCTCCAAATAGGGTCGCATTCTGAGGTTCTGTGGGTTAGAACTTCAACATATGAATTTGAGGTGGAGGGACAACCCAGCCCACAACAGACAGTAACCACTTCCATATCTGAACATACGTCGTTTTTGAGTTTGACGCTAAGATCTGTAGCTTGGTGATCAGATACTGTAAGTTGACATACTTGAGGGGCTGACAGCTTCTGCCATGTTTATGTTCCTCAAGACAGTTAAAAGCGTTTACTAGGAAGTGTGTATACAAGGCAACAGGCTGAAGAGGCCGGAGGAGACTAGTCCTGTTGCCCTGTGGGGCCTCAGCTTGGCACACATGCAACGTTAGGAGCAACTGCTTTGAAGGAAGGAACACAAGCGTACTTATATGGACCTACAAAGCATGACAGACTGCTTTCTAGGCTTTGGCCTTGAAAACTCAAGTCATGCCCAGTCTTCCTTGTATTCCTAAAGTCCAGGGCTGCTTGGGCCATGTGCAGCCGCTATTTTTTTTAGGATGGGAATCAGTGCTAAGCTAATCCAAAACAAGAATATTGGCTAATGTTTACTGTACACTGAGCACTGTGGTGGCCCTTTACACGTTAACTTCCAACAGTATTATGAAACGGGAGCTCTCATTATTCTCTACTTACAGTTAAGTACGCAGAGGCAGAGAGGCTACATAACTTGGCTAAGGCCCCAAACCGTCGTGCAGGGAAGCTCAGCGCTCACTCCTAACACCTGCTGCTCATCGTGACCACTTACCCAGCAGGCTGATCCCAACAGCAGCAGCAGATGAGGCCGCCTGCGACAGGCAGAGAAGGCTCAGAGGAAAATCGTGTCAAAAGGACAGTTACTCATTGGTTCATCTTGTGAGGACTTAGAATGTGCCACTTAAGTCTAAGAGGTAAAAAAACAGGAGACAGTGGTAAATAAGCAGTAACAGCTACACAGCCACATTCTCACTTAAAAC